ATGAGCATACACTCAGAAACATACTTTCACTGAAATTATGCTCTCAAATACCGAAAGAAGAAAAGCTGTGCTGCCAGAGCAACTGAATACACCCCTCAGCATGTTTAAAAAGCCACCGCATGCAGACTAAATGCCATATGCATCCGTAGAAAACGCGGGCACCAAAGCTGTCTCCTAATTCGGAGGGGACAGTTGTCATCATAATGTTGCACTAAAACAGGACTGCATGCAAATATCAGCAAAAGCAGGAGAAACACACACCGGTTCCCAGGGACTAGCAATTGAGGCAGGAGGACCAATATGCAAAATTCTCGTTTATGAGGAAACCGCACATACCCGTAAAGCAGAAGCTGCCTTTACCAGGTAACAGCCTCGCACCTCTCAGTACGGGCCACTTCAAAAAGCTTAACCCCAGGCTTAGTACTTGGTAAATCTTGATGGAATCCAACGTTTAAGGCAAGTTAAGGCCTCATCTACCTGCAACACGTTCCCTGGTTTTTAAATCTAGACAGAAAAACACCCCATCCAAAGCCATTATTATTATTTTCATGCTAGGCAACTGTATTATTTGTGAGAAGGTGACCTCTAGCAGAAAGGAAGCATATGAAACAAAAATAATAGTTACAAGCGAGACCCATCCGACTTCCTCATCTACCTTCTCCTGGGTCTGGCTAATTTAAAAAAGAAAAAGATGGAGAACAAATGACCCCTGCATAATATTTAAAGGCTATATAGTGTCTTGATTTAAAATAAATTCCAGGAAGGAGGCCTGGACATTTGGGAAAAAGAGAAAAACTGGAAGTAAAATCCTGTCAAACAGCCCCAAACACGTGGCCCCGCTGCCGGCGGCTCCCGCACACCACAGAGCAATTTGCATCTTATCGCAGCGATGCAGCGTAGAGATCGTCTCAGGTCCCGGAGTCCATTTCCTTCTCAAAACATCTCAAATAACCAGCATCTCCTCAGTCCTCTGGGTTCAGCCTTTTCAACACCCCCCCGGTCACAGCAGGACCAAAACCATTACGACCGAGCCCTGCCGAGGGAGCGATCCTGCAGTATGGATGAGGATGAGATGCTGGGATGGGTTTTGCTTTGGGGTGCTCCCTGGGGCGTTGCGCACTCGTGCTGCACGCCCGGCCCCAAGAAAAGCCTCTTACCAGCCTCTTACCCTGGTGCAGGTACCGCAGGGAGCTGCCGCTCACCCTCCCGGCATTAGGGACACGGCACACCTCTGCAAAAGGTCTTGGAGGCACCGCTGTCCGTAAGACTGCAAGCAGCCGGACAGACTGCCTGATCTTTGCTGGGCATCCTCCAGACCACCTCAAAATCTGGAAGGCAAACGGGCCTTTGACAGCCATTTTAATGATTCCGGTGCCAGCCTGCTTCCGAGTAAGCAGTACCTCCAACACACGCCGCGTGTAACGAAACCCACTCACTAGATAATGTACCATCGCTTCCACATCTCCCGCTTCTGATGCGATCATGTCATGTGGTGAAAGACAGATTTGCACTTAACTGTAATCCAGCTAGAGAAGAAAAATATCTGATACGCAAATGAAGTTGATGTCCTTACCCGTCACCCAGTAAAGACATCCCATATGCCAAACTATGTTGAATTTAACAGGTGAAACCACAGTGCCGGTCAAATAATACAGTGACTAACAGTAATGCAACCGATCTCTTTTAAATGCAAATAGAGCAGCTATTTAGCTTGGAAACTCAGGGGGCAGAGAGAAAAAGCAGAGAGGCAGCACAAGAGATTCTTTGCAGCTGAACATCAATTTTCAAATAATGTGAAATGTAGGACGGAGAACAAGAGCGGGTATAATGAAAGGGGAGCCGGCGCCCGCAATAAGGTGGCCCTCTTTCATCGGTCGCTTTGGAAGCTTTGCTCTGCTGGGTACTTGCTAAGTGCCCCGCATGCCTTGAACGGTCCAGGGCACACACAGCGCTTTCTTCACGGAGCCGCCAATTAAGGAGGTTTAAGCAAGACCCCTACTTATGCCAACACAGGTTGGACAACATTTTTTTACTGCATATATTGCTCGTCTCTACAGCCAAAAGGAAAAAAAAAAGTGACCCCTCTGGTTACCAACAAAAAACTTGACA